CTTTGCTCTGGGCCGGCTGCTGCGCATGGAGTGGGGGTTTTCGGAGAAGTCGCCGCAGGAAGTCCAAGATCTCTCGGAGAGGCAGCAGCTAATTTCGAGCCGGTTGTTTTAGAAGTATCCGAGGAGGGGGGCGGGAAGCAAACTCCTGGGAGAACAGAGCGAACACTCCAAGGGATGGAGAGAACCCGGAGCACCAGGCCATCGCCAGCACCATGGCGCACTGCGGCACCCCACGTCCGGAGCTGCTATGCACTGACGGGTTCTCCACTCTGGCAGAGAAATGCTGGGCTGGGGGCAATTGCTGGAAGAGGTAACCCCGGGGTGAATGACCGGGCACAGCTCACACCAAGGGGCTTCCCTTGCAACACCCTGCACCCCCTGTGCCATCTGCCTGGCTGCACCCAGAAAGCCTGGGGCCCCACTCCGGCCTGGCTTCATCCGGAGTCACTCCTGGTGGGGGCGGGGCAGGGCAGGGTTCCGAGCTCAGCCCCACCCTGGTTAATCCGGAGTCACTCCTGGCAGGGGCGGGGGCAGGGCAGGGTTCCGAGCTCAGCCCCACCCTGGTTAATCCGGAGTCACTCCTGGCAGGGGCGGGGGCAGGGCAGGGTTCCGAGCTCAGCCCCGCCCTGGTTAATCCGGAGTCACTCCCCACCATGGAACCCTGGGGGCAGGGTTCCGAGCTCAGCCCCACCCTGGTTAATCCGGAGTCACTCCTGGCAGGGGCGGGGGCAGGGCAGGGTTCCGAGCTCAGCCCCACCCTGGTTAATCCGGAGTCACTCCTGGCAGGGGCGGGGGCAGGGCAGGGTTCCGAGCTCAGCCCCACCCTGGTTAATCCGGAGTCACTCCTGGCAGGGGCGGGGGCAGGGCAGGGTTCCGAGCTCAGCCCCACCCTGGTTAATCCGGAGTCACTCCTGGCAGGGGCGGGGGCAGGGCAGGGTTCCGAGCTCAGCCCCACCCTGGTTAATCCGGAGTCACTCCTGGCAGGGGCGGGGGCAGGGCAGGGTTCCGAGCTCAGCCCCACCCTGGTTAATCCGGAGTCACTCCTGGCAGGGGCGGGGGCAGGGCAGGGTTCCGAGCTCAGCCCCACCCTGGTTAATCCGGAGTCACTCCTGGCAGGGGCGGGGGCAGGGCAGGGTTCCGAGCTCAGCCCCACCCTGGTTAATCCGGAGTCACTCCTGGCAGGGGCGGGGGCAGGGCAGGGTTCCGAGCTCAGCCCCACCCTGGTTAATCCGGAGTCACTCCTGGCAGGGGCGGGGGCAGGGCAGGGTTCCGAGCTCAGCCCCACCCTGGTTAATCCGGAGTCACTCCTGGCAGGGGCGGGGGCAGGGCAGGGTTCCGAGCTCAGCCCCACCCTGGTTAATCCGGAGTCACTCCTGGCAGGGGCGGGGGCAGGGCAGGGTTCCGAGCTCAGCCCCACCCTGGTTAATCCGGAGTCACTCCTGGCAGGGGCGGGGGCAGGGCAGGGTTCCGAGCTCAGCCCCACCCTGGTTAATCCGGAGTCACTCCTGGCAGGAGGGCTAGTGGGGGCCCAGCAGGGGGCAGCGTGGGGCCCAGCAGGGGGTCATGTGGGGGGCAGCAGGGGAAACAGGGAGCTTTAGCAGATCCCAGGCGGCCACAGGGATTCGGAGGGGGCTGAAACATGCCTGGAGTGAATCTGACCCCTCCCCTCCCTCCCAGCCACAGCTCCCCTATTCTGTCACTCCCCGCGGGGGGCTCTGACCAGGCCCACCCCGCTCACCCTCCACCCTTGCTCCTAGACTTGCTGAACCCTGACATCCAAGATGACATCAGCTGTGCCAAGCGCGTGGTGCAGGACCCGCTGGGCATGGAGTCTTGGTAAGGGAGCTCCCGGGGGGTCACAGAGGAGCACTGCAGCTCAGCACAGCACTACTGTTCCCCAGCTGCTCTGCCCCAGAGCTGGCTGCATCCCAGCACCGGACGAGCCCTCCCCGCGCAGCGTTATATGCCGCTGTTCCCCAGCTGCTCCACCCCAGAGCTGGCTGCATCTCAGAACTGGGCAAGCCCTTCCTGAGGCTGATCCAGCCCAGGGAGCCTCTGCCTCAGCCACCCCTAGAGAAGCAGGACCTGACGGAGTGGGTGCAGGGATGTGGCGTGTGACACCCGACCTGCCAGCCCCCGTCCGTCCGCCCACACGGATGCTGTGAGCACCGAGCCCTCCTGCAGAAATTTATAAACTCCCTTGGTTGAAATGTCCCCCGAGTGTCTCTTTGTTTGGACACCCGCGCAAGTGGGCAGGGCCCGAGCCCCCCGATCTCGCTGGCACCCAGCGAATGTGGGATACCTTCTCACAGGCCACAGGTGCACCCCAGCAGAGCTCCCTGCCACCCCCCAGCTGCAGCCGCATCTCTGGGCTGAGCGTGGCATCCCTGCACAGCTGCTGCTTAGCCCCAGAACTGGGGAGGGAACCCAGGAGTCCTGGCTCCCACCCCCCTGCTCTAGCCACTAGATCACCCTGCCCCTGTTCCTGGGTCCCTTCCCCAGCACTGCATAACCCAGCCCAAGGGTCTCGTAGGGGGGTTGCGGGGCAGATGCGCGGGAGGGAGGATGGCCTCGCATGGGCCAGGCTGGGTGGGAGCAAAGGGCCATCCAGCCCAGTGTCCTGTTGGCCGACAATGGCCGGTACCAGGTGCCCAGGGGGAGCGACAAGAGAGGGAACCGTCCAGTGATCCCTCAACTTCGCCCATTCCCAGCCTCGGCCAGAGCCCAGGGACCCAGCCCTGCTCAGCAGCCATGGCTGGACCCGTCCTCCGTGAACGTATCTCGTTCTTTTTTGAACCTTGTTCGGCTACATCCACCCGACAGAGTTTTTGCGAAAAAGTCGCGGCGCGCCCAGACCTCTAGAGCGTTCCCTTCGGGCTGGGTGCTGCCCAGACCCCAACCCAGAGCATAATCCTGAAAATAACCAGCGTAGCGGCCTTGCACGAGAGGGTTTTCTTGCACAAGAGGGGGCCGTGTAGACAGCTCCTTCTGGCGCAAGAGCCTCTTCTGCAAAAACGGCATCTCATTAGGTATGCAATGAGGCTCAGCGATATTCCACGCTTAGCCTCATTTGCATACTTCTCGTGCAAGAAGCCTCGAGTGTAGACATAGCCTAGCCGTTCCCTTCGCTTCATCCTGCTCCTTCTGTCTGGCTGCTTCAGTGTCACAAACTCACCAAGAAAAGACGTCTGCAAATAACTCACCGACCGTTCCACCCAATCCAAAAATCGGCAGCACGCCCCTGTGGGCTTTCAAAGCTTACCCCAGGAGCAGCTAAAACAGGCTTCAGGTTGTCAAAGGGCGTTTTCAGTGACGTGTGTTTGGGGTTTCAAGTGCGGGTGTCTCGGGGCCGACCGGCTGCGCAGTGTTTACGCAGACAGACGAGTACACTCTGATAGAGGCAGCAAGGCGGTGGGGGAGCGACTAGTCGCTAACGTCCCTTCCCCGCTAGTGTGCTGCCCTCATTCCCATGCCAGCCCACCCGTGAGTCCAGGACGGAGCGCCCCCTTAGGAACTCCCAGGGCACAGCCAAGCCAAGTCCAAATTCGGGAACGTGACAGAGCAGAGCCGGCTGATGCCAGCCTGCAACAGAGCCAGACGGGGGCCTGGCGATCCGGGGAAACCTGGGGTGGGCCATTCCGGCGTTGAGATGTGGGAACCGGGCCGGAGGAAAAACCAGGGTTGGACCAGCCTGCATCACCCATACTGATTTAGGGGGCGGGAGCCCACCCCACAGAGCTGGGGGGACAGACGCTTGATGCCGAAGGCCGGCAGCCCAGGAACCAGTGGAGACAACCCCACCTCCCACTACGCTCCTTTGCCCCCAACCGTCTCTATTGCCACTTGGTGGCATCACACCCACGTTGTTTGCCTGTGCCCAGTACCAGCCGCTGTCCTCAACGTCCTTGACTGCTCCCACCCCGGGGGGCCGCGACCTTGGGCAGCACCAGTTGGACAGGCCGGCCGGCTCACCGATCAAGGTGTTAACAGAAGGGCCAAGAGGCGAGCCCGCCCGCTCTGCACGGCTGCCCTGTCTGCGGCTGGAGCCCAAGCAGCTGGCCAGTTTGTAATGAACACAACGTTGCCGCGCTCGTTTCAGTCCCTCTTGACTGCTCCCACCCCGGGGGGCCGCGACCTTGGGCAGCACCAGTTGGACAGGCCGGCCGGCTCACCGATCAAGGTGTTAACAGAAGGGCCAAGAGGCGAGCCCGCCCGCTCTGCACGGCTGCCCTGTCTGCGGCTGGAGCCCAAGCAGCTGGCCAGTTTGTAATGAACACAACGTTGCCGCGCTCGTTTCAGTCCCTCTGGGGGTTTAATCACAATCGGCGGGGAGGGGCCCGCCGCCC